TTGGATGGGGCACCAGGTTGAGGAGGGCTTGGGTTCTATTCCTGGCTCTGCTAGTGATTTGCTATCACCTTGGTCACGTTGCTCACGTTTCTCTGTCTTGGTTTCCCTCTCTGTAAAATGGGGATAATGCTACCTTCACTTTGAGATCTAAGGATGAAAAATGCCACAAGTGCTTATTCAACCTCCTCCACATCTATCCTCCTCATCCTCGCCCTCCCGTTCTTTGGATTCTCTTGTCATTTACCCCCCTGCCTCTCTAATGTTAGCAAATCCCAGTGCTACAGGGATGAGGTCATATTCTGCATTTTCCCATGTGGTGTGTGCAGGCCGGCTATTTGTTCTTTGATGTGTGTGCCCAGACGGGGTCCTCTTTGCATTCCACACATGCTGCTGCCTCAGGGGCACCACACATCTTGCAGCCTGTCACTCAGGTAACAAATGCAGGCAGGAGCTGGAGTTGACTAGCAGCTGGCTCTAGGAACAACGTGTGATCAGAGTTTATGGAGCAGCCTCTGGGCTTGAGGGTTTGAATCCTGTTTTGAGTGGGTAAAAAGCAGAGCCCAGTTGGAATGAAGCTCAGGGTATGTTCCCCCTGCCTGGTTACAGTACATTGACTATATACAACACAGGAGGTGTTATAAGCTATTCGGTAACATCTCCTGTCCTTCACTGCTGCGGTGGGGACTTGAGCCAAACCTGCCCTGGGCTGCTCTGATGGAACCTCTGCTATCTGCTTCCTCTGGTGTTCTAAGCGTTCATGTTTGTCAGAGTGAACCTGGGATTTGCTAGGGGGAACTTCTGCTGTACTCTGAGGACTACGGAAAGGAGGCCGGCTTAGGTGGCTTTGCTTACGTTGTATTTTGCCTGGAATCCTTGCAAACCGTGCTCTATCCATACGTACCTTCCACATGTGTGTTGCACTCCTGAGTTGTTTGCCAATGAGACCTGGATAGCTGCATGTTTCCCTTAAGGGCTTACTGGTGATCTGGTCACCCCCTTGTTATAGACTCTTTACTTTGATGGCTGTTTGGTGTTCATGTGAAACAATCTGGGTTTCTTTCTTCTAGTGGCACAGGTCCACGTTCTTCTCCTATGCCTCCCTTAACTCCAGTCTTGGCAGGAAGACCAGAAGGAATGAGTTGAGTGTTTGGAACTCCTCTAGACGGGGTCCCTCCCAGGCTGTTCGAGCAGGGCTTTGTGGGGTGGGGTGTGTGTGTGTCTGTGTGTATGGAAAGCTGGCACTGTTGCGGTTCTCTGGCTTTCATTGCTCTCTGTCCATCCACAGGACAATTAAACTCCAGTGATGTCACTCTGAAACATTCCAGCAGCACTAAATGAGTTTCTCTGCTGTGGGCAAGCAACTGGAGAAGAGCTAAGCTGTGCGGTAATGGCTAGCGTGGGCAGGGGGCCTGGTTAACAAGATCATGCTCTCTTTGAGCTACTAATCGAATGGGCAGCTGATGGCAATGCGACAGATCTAATTCTAATCATGACTGTCGCAAAGGTACTGGATTGTAGAACGGGGGAGGCTTGCTGAGCGATCCGAGGAGCACTGCCTGGCAGGGTGGATAAATGGCTGGCTCACAAACGGGTTGTTGGATTGGGAGGACGTCAGGTGGCTCAGGATGTGATACGGAGACAGGATTCACACACTTGTCTAATGACCTTGAAGGCTAACTCTGCGCTGCCTACGTTTCTGGCCCTCTCCAAGCGGGGCGGTCTAGTAAACATAGATGATCTATTTAAAAATACGGGGAGGGGAGACACTGAAGTGGCACCCCATTCAGAGCAGGGAGATGAGGTTTGATGGGGTGGAGCGAGCCAGGGAAAGAACAACTCTCAGTGGAGACATAGAATTAGAGTCATCCAAAGCTCCACTCCCAAGGAGAATGAGGATGATGGTGGGCAACAAACTCACTGCATCCCACCACTTCTTTTCGGGAAATCCCGGATACCGCTGTGAGAAGCTGGCCTCATTTCATGCTGCACCATGGCTGCTGGGCCTTCCCTGCAGGGAAGACACTTGCTGGTCCTTCTTTGACTCTTACCTGTGTTTCTAAACTGGCTCTTGCAGTAACAGCTGTGATGAACGTGACCTCTAGATTAGCATCTGACAAGCTTTGCGTGACTCAGACTCATCGAGTCATGCAACACCCTGTGAAGTAGGTACATGATGATGATGATGTTTGTTGGATCCGTTTTACAGATGGGGAACCAGAGGCAGAGAGAGGTTAAAAGAGTAGTCCAAAGTGATTCAGTGGCCAGCTGGGCGCAGGAGTCCTGCTCTAACTACTAGGGGCTACTGCCTTCCATTGCTGACAAGGACAGCATGCAATAGCATGTAAGTGGGGCTGCAGTTCTCACTAAAACCTAAAAGTGGGAAGCGATGTTGCATGTCCCATTAGACTCCAAGAGGAGGAAGCAGAGCAATAGGAGTTAGGAACCCCCCCTGGAGGTCAGCTAAAGTTGGGATGGCTCACAAGGTAGTTATAGCAACCCCAGCAGAGGTGAGGAAAGTGAGAGAAGATGGTTGTTGATCGTAGTTAGGGAAGTCTTGGCCTACTGAAAGATGCTTTCTCCTTCACTGGTTTGTAATGTCCAGAGCAACTCTGCTTCCATTGTTTCCCTTAGCAGGCTAAATTCCAGTCCAAATAGATCCTGCCGCACCTTTGCCAGGACTCGCAATGGATGCCTATGGACCACAAGGTCAATCAACGGAGGCCAACATACCAGAGAGGTCCCCGTCCTCTCTAGTGCCGTGGGTATTAGCTGATTGCCCTGGGGGGATCTTAGCATCAGGATCCCCACAGCATCTCTAATGCTCCATGCACTGAGATGCTGATACATTACCAGAGACGCTGCACCGGGACTGTGCCTGCGGCTCTCCACAAGAGCAGCCTGCGGGTGCAGGGAAAGGAGGGTGTGTGTGCATAAAACTTTATGCCTAGGATCTGGTTCTTTTAATTCCTCTCTTAAACGTCCCAGAGTAGCAGAGGTCTGGGTCAGCAAGAGGGAACCCCTTGGGCCAAGACACAAAACTTACCAGAAGAAGCCAGGCAATTCAGCTCAGTTTGTTTTCCCTTGGGGCTCTTAAGTGTGCCATGCCCCTTTGATGAACTAGGTATAGCAGAGCATCTGACCTGTTTGTTGGAATCTAAGCAGAATCTAATTAAAATCTAAGCAGCCAGGAGGCAAGCAGGGCGTGTCGTTATTGCTATGGTAGATTAATATATGTAAACATCCTCTCGACAAGACTAGGCTAAGCCACCCTGGGCTGGGCAGTTTCAGGGTGACTCAAAATCAGCCAAAGAGTCTTTCAGCCTGCTGCTTACAGGTGGGGATGCAGCTTCTCACCAGCAGCACAGATGGCTCTGAGTTTCAGGCACCAGACGCCCCCTGATGATCTCCGGTAGCAGCTTCTGTTTCTGCTCAAGAGCTGGGATTGGTAGCATCTTCCAAGGTGAAATAACAAGCCCTGCATGGGGGCTCTGATTGGATTGCCCCTAATTGCACACGACTAGATCAAGGTAGCAGGAGCAATGGAAGAGATGGGGGGGGGGAATTGTCTGTTCAGAGGTTGAATTCACAGCTCAGCCGGTGTGTGGTGAGATGCATGGTGACATTCGTGTCCTCTAACTCCTCAGCCCCAGCACAGTGGGTTCTAGTGGCCCTGAATACAAGAAGCAATTAAGTGATGCACAATTTACTCCTGAGGGAATTCTGCGCCTAAAAATTTTGTGCACAATATTTTAAAATTCTGCAAGTTTTATTTGTCAATAAATAAATGCAGAGGCCACTGGCTGCATGAAAGTGGGAGATCACCCTGCAGCCCCACCACCACCACCCACCCCTGGGACACAGACTCAGCAGTGAGGCTGCACCCGACCCTGACACAGCACAAGACCTGGCCCTGCTCCTCTGTGCCAAGTGCACCAGGTGTGGGGCAGGCAGGCTCAACCAGGCAGGATCTAAATGTGAAGGGGCTCAGTGTGGGGTGAGAGGGTTCTGTGTGGGACAGTCTGGGTGCAGGCACCTCAGTGGGGGGATCTGGATGCACAGAGGCTCATTGGGAGTGGGGTTCCAGGTGCAGGGGCAATGAGACCCTGCATGGTTTTCAGGTGAAGGTGGTTGGGGCTCAGCGGAGGGGTCTGGGTGTAGGGGGTCTCAGCTGGGAGGTCTGGGTGCTGGGGAGTGGGGTTGGGTGGGGGGCTGGGTGCAGCTTGTTAGAGGTCAGTGGCATGGGGGTCTGGATGTGGGGGCTCAGGGTGGTGCAGGGGGGTGGGGCTCATCAGGGTGGGGGTGTGAGTACAGGGAGCTCGGGGAGGGGCGGGGTAGTCTGGGTGAAAAGGCGGAGGTCTGGAGACAGGGGGTCTGGGTTCAGGGGGGCTCCACATGCAGTGGTTGAGGTTCAGTGGGGTAGGGTTTTGGGTATGGAGGGCTCGGGGGGTACGGGGTGAGGCTTGGTGGGTGTGTCTAGGTATGGGAGGTCTGGATGGACGGGGGAGCAGCTCCGGTACAGTGATCTCTCCCCCTGCAGGTGAGGAGCGATGGGGGCAGGAAGCAGGGGAGGATGCTGAGCTTCCTGCAGCTGGGGGAGGTTTCTGAGTGTGGGTCTGACGCAGCCCCAGCCACTCCTTTCAGGGGAAGAGGAAGTCCAGTCCTCTCCTGCCTCCAGCTCAGCCGGAACTAGCAGCTGATCCTGGCTCAGGATAGGAGCCACTGGCTAGGGTGTCCCCAGCTCCACAGTGATTTACCTCTCCGCCGGCTGCTCCGGGTGCCTGAAACGATGTATCTGCTCTGCTAGAGAGTGGTGCGTGACTGCTCTTGCAGCTTCCCTTTCCTTCCCTGCCAGAAAGTCATTTTTCTGCGGGGAAGCAAAGAAATCTGCAGGGGACATGAATTCTGCGCATGCACAGTGGGACGGAATTCCCCCGGCAGTAACAATTCCCTGTATGCCACTGCACTGAGTACTCCTCCTGTCTCTTGTCTTCCTTTGATAGGGGACGGAAGAGTGGGATTGTAAAGCCCCACCCTGCGGAGGCGCTGCCATCTCGGCTTTGGAATGAGGGGACGGACGTAAGTAGCCTCCTTTTCTCCCTCCCAGCTGTTACTTTTATTCTTTAACTTTCCTCCAAAGGAAAGGAGGGCAGAGCGGTGCAGATGTCGCTTTTGGCAGCACGAGAACGAAGCCACTGTGTGCTCTGAGTGCTAGGGCCGTGGTTCCATAAGTGACCCTGCTCCCCCTTAGTGCGATGGGAAGGGCCAGGAGGTCATGACCCCTGTGCATGAACCCCTGGGGTTGAGAACCCCTGCACTGGGGAATAACCAGTAATTGTGTTGCCTGGAAAGAAGGCCCCAACCACACGCTTTTCTTCCAGTAACTTTTCATCCTCTTCTTTTTTGATAATGGTTCTTCAGAACCTGTGACCCCATGGAAACGCCAGCCTTCTGTTTACTATTAGCATCTGGAAGGCACCCATCACCAGCAAAAACAACCATGGGCTCTGGGTCTGTGGGGTGTGAAAGCCAGCCTTGCCCTCCCTCCGAACTCCAGACTGATCGAACCTGGATTTGATCCTATTCTGTATTGTTTAGCGGCCCATGCATTGACCTGCTGGAGCAGGGACATCTACGTTCACATATGACAGCAAGGATGCAGAGAGACACCTCTCCCCCCGCCCCACCCCCCGACCCGTTCCACGTGAAAGTGATTTTACATATTTCGCTCTGTGTGAGGGGCAGTCAGACTGTGCAGGCTGCATGGTCCGTTTCTGAATAACAGGATCACAGAGCTGTCACTTGGCCCCTTGAGGATGCTTGCATGAGTGTTCTATGCAATTTCAGGTCAGATTAGTGACTTGCTGGGAAATTTAAATCATGAATCTAGTGCAGTCATTAAGGTGTGATTAATGCGTGCGCGTGCATGACCTTGGCGAACTCCCCGACAGCAAAGTAGCTGAGCAAAATGTTATCTGCTACCTCTGGCCAGTGAATTACTGAGTATCACGGTGAAATGCTTCCTTATTTCTGGTTTCAGAGTAGCAGCCGTGTTAGTCTGTATCCGTAAAAAGAAAAGGAGGACTTGTGGCACTTTAGAGACTAACCAATTTATTAGAGCATAAGCTTTTGTGAGCTACAGCTCACTTCATCGGATGCGTGCAGTGATAGCTCACCTTTCCTGGTCACTCTTGTTACAGCCTGTATGGTAATACCCATTGTTTCATGTTCTCTGTGTATATAAAATCTCCCCACTGTATTTTCCACTGCATGCATCCGATGAAGTGATCTGTAGCTCACGAAAGCTTATGCGCTAATAAATTTGTGCATCTCTAAGGTGCCACAAGACCTCCTGTTCTTTTTCCTTATTTCTGTTATTCATTAACAGAAATCATATGCAAATTCTTCCCTGGAAACAGGGTTTTACCGAATAGAACGGGTTGCGTCTGGCAAAAGATCTCCAGGTACAATCCCCTTGAGAGAAGCAGCAAGCGGCAGGGGGCACTCGCAAGGATGCATGGGCGTGGGTGGCTGTAGCAAGACTGGTTTTCTAGGGTAGTGGCAATTTCTCCCCTCTGCTCAGTGAGAGCAGAAGGTGGGCAGAACGCAATATTGAGCATCTGCGAGTGAGGTAGAATCCCGCTCCGGCTGAGCGAAAGGTGCCTGGAGAGGCAGTGCAGTTTCACTGCTGAACGGCGCAGAAGCGATGCTCATGTCACTTTGCTGTCGGGGAGTTCGCCAGGGTCACTACTGTGGAGTTTCACTGTGTGCAGTAATTAAAGTGAGCTAGACGGTGCAGTGACATTGGGGCGGGGTGGAAATGAGCTGCCATGTGGGGTACTGGTGAGCTGGCCTGAGTTCTGCGTCTCAGTGTGCAGTCTGAGAATCAGTTCAGCGATATACGGCGCCCTTGGTCTCTTTTCTCTGCTCCACCCCCGTTGGTCTGTGCTCTCTCCAGCTGCCCACTGTGCACAGGCTGCCCCCTTGGGGTTTGTCCTGTGGTGTCCTCTGAACACAACACGCAATGGTTATTGCATTTCCTTCCCAGCTTTCCTGCTGCTTGGGCTAACGCCAGCCGGTGTGCTCTGATCAGCGCCGATCACAGTCCACCTGCCTTGGCTCTGAGTCAGAGAAGTCCTTACCTATTTAGCAAACCACTTAAACTCACATCTGACTTTAGGAATGTGCCTAAGTCCCTTTGAAGTCAATGGGATTTAAGCAAATGCTTCAGAGCTTTGCTGAACTGGGTCTGCTGGGAGTGGAGGACTGATTCTTAAGCTGGCCCTGTTGGCTTTCAAACTGGGCAGAGACCTGTCCCTGTGAGGCCTCCTTATCACGCCTCATCCTTATCTGTGCTCTGATCCATCTGCGGTGTCAGGGCCCTATCTCTGTGCCATAGGTTGGCAACTGTCTAAGGGCCCCACCCGTGGACCAGGAGCCCATGGTGCTAGGCTCTGTACAAGAGAGGCAGACCCATTGTTTTGTAATCGCAGTGCCAAATCTAGTGTCAAAAGTGAGATGCTGTGACTGAGCCGAGGCTGCAGTTCTCCCTTCCCCTCCCTCAAATCACTGGCCTCTTCTAGACTAGTGTGCACTGTTGTAATGTCAGCCCAGCACACGGTACGCCCAAGGGAATCCACATTGTGGTGCCAAAAGGAACAATCCCAAGCTGTCACTCGTGCTGCTCTGACAATCGGTGGAACCAAAGGCAGGGAGCATTACATCCCTCAGAAATCTCTTCTGCTCCCTGCCCTTGGATGCTAACAGCAGCCGTAGTGTTACCTAGTGGTTAGAGCAGCATACTGCAACTCAGCACTCCTGGGTTCTGCTCTTTCCCTGCTATGTTATCATGAGCAAGTCACTGAAATCACTGCACAGCAGAAGTTACCCACCTGTAAAATGAGTGGAGCAGCCTGTTCCTGCTTCGCAGGGGTGTTAATGAATAAATGAATGTAAATTGCTTTAAGATGCCCAGATGGAGGTCTCTCTGGAATGGCAAAGTGTTATTGCTATGGCTCCCTTCAGTGCCGCAAACAGCTTGGAAGTGTCAGGAACATAAAAGTACGTCTCCAATAACTCAAACTGCGCCTAAGCCAGATCCAGCTGCAGCCTGCACCGGGGAAACTTCCACCTCTGGAACTATTCTGATATAGCTACAGGGGCTAGGGGTGGGGAACCCCTACAGCTATACAGGGTGGGAGGGAGCCTTTAATGTAGACCCCCCCTGGAGCACTGCAAAACGGACCTACCCTAGCAACTTCCATCGCAGTTTGCACTTGTCACCTTCTGGGTGTAAAACAACCCAGTGTAGATAGAGCTTTCCTGTATAGATCAGGGTGTTGGGGCCAGGAGAGCCACTGATCATCTTGCTGCTAGCCAGTCTCTGCCACTCTAGAGGAGAGCGAAGAGACCCCTTAATTCTCATGTTTCTTGTGTGGAGGTAGGGGAAGACTCAATGGCAAACATCAATTCAGCTCTAGTTTGTAGTGGAGCGATTAATGTGCCAGAGGAGAGGACTGATTTCAGGTGGCAACGAGGCTACAGGACTAGGTGAGCCCTTAACCAAGAACCTGTTCTCCTGCAAATTTCATAGATAATAAAGACCAAGGGTTTTATTAATGTTGTCTTTGTATTAATGAAGACCAAAAGCTTCAAGTACATGGAGCATAGCAACAGGATGATGCAGTGCACTCGGCACTCCCAGACAAGAAAATCAGGGCTCTTCCCCGACTTTGTCCTTTTCCCTGAGGTGTAGTATGTCTCTTAAAGCAACACAAAACAAAAATAAAGCAAAACTGTGATTATTCATAGAGACCTGGGAGGGAAGCTCAAATGCATTGTTGGGCCATTGATCTGCTCAGCCAATAGGGATTTAGGCTGAATTCCAGTTCAGAGGCTCTGAAACCTGCTCTTGACAAACCCTTTTCCTTCCCATTGGGTGGATTTTAGAGGTGTGAATGTTTTTGTTTCCAGTGACAGCTGAACAGAAACGTGACCTACTTTTACGCACTGCCACTGTGCTTAACTATACAGACTGAGTCTCTGCTGGATCTCTTTGGGGGCCAAACCACAAGAAGGGGTGAAATGCACCATGTCTGTGGTTATGCAATTGTGTTAGCTGGTGCCTGCACCACCACCCAAGTGGAGTTGGTTTACAGGAGTGCTCTCGCTATTTTGGGGAAGCTCCCCAGCTTTGACGTGACGTAATGCACTGAGAACTGTGAGCACAGAGTGGAATCTAAAGGGTGGGTGAAGGTGACTTGAGTATTCCTCTGTCTCCTTAAACGAGAATGAATGTAAGGTCTGGGTGTGTTGGGCTTGGAGAGGAGGGATGTGATCCGTGAAGGGTCTCAGCATTTATCTCTGCTTTGGAAAGCTGTGATCTTCTGGAAATTAACTTATCAATGAAATACAATGAAGCATGTTTTGACTGCCTGACACTTGTAAGCAGCATCATGTACTCTTGACTCAAACCTGTACAAGGTTGGGAGGAGTGGAGGAGATGAGTGTTCTTGCCAGATCAGTTTAATTATATAACTGGTATCTGCATAGCCATTAATGTGCATGACAGGAGGTGGGACAGTAGAAATATATTTTAAGGTGACTTGTTCTCTTTAAATGGTAAGTTTGCATTTATTAAAACTGCTGCTTGCTCATATAAATTACTCTGGGATGCTTCTCTGGAAGACGTTACCTTTGAAAGCCCAACCTTAGGGTGTTGCTGATTCCCTCCCCACCGAAATCTCCTAGGTTCCACCCAGTGATCATCCTTGTTACCCTCACGTAACAGCAGGGAGCAGGGCTGGGCCTCCTGGTGCTTTTGCCACGAGCCCTCTCCCTCTGAATTGAAGCCCCTGAATTGAGGTGAGTTCAGCTCAGTCCCAGGGTCTCAACTTGCTCGGGGGTCAGGCTCCCACCTAGCTATCTCCTGCCATCCCATGGAGAGAAACAGACCTGGATTGTGTGTCTCTGATCCCTGGGGCATGCCGTGTTAAGTCTAAAACTTTTTCTGTCGGGGCTTAAACCCAGCTCAGTAACGATCTCTCTCGCTGCCATCCTGAGTATTCTGTTGCATTACA